AAAAAAAAAACCAAGGAGAGGAAGAAAAAAAACCACCCCCCCCCCCCCCCCCCCCCCCCCCCCAAAAAAAACCCAAACCAACCCCAAACCGATGACAAGACAAAGGTTTATCAACACTTTCTTTAGCTTCTGGAATTGAAACCAGAAGCAGAAGCACTGTTTCTCCGGCTGTGAAATCCACCAACAAAGTATGTGTATCCATCCCCCTCTAGTGCCCAGGAGATGACAATATTGCCACCAGAACGTGAGCTTTGCTGATGGAGACCTGCCAATTACAGTACCTAGCACTGTTGATGACCCAGGCAGAGCTTTCATTCAGACACCTCTCCCTTCCCAGTTGGTGACTTTTTCAAAATACTTTATGACAATGTTTTTAAATTGTTAGAAGAAACCTACATTTGCAAAATCAAGAATGAAAAAATAATTTCAATTTTTTTGTGAAACCTTACTCCAGCCTCCTTCTGAATATTACCATAAGCTCTTTTAATGACCTGGTTGTGAAATCCCATGGTTTCCCCTCTGGACTCCCTGTCTTACATGGGGCAAAGAATGGCCTGTACTGTGGGAATTTGTTATAACTGTGCAATGGAGGAGGCTGCTGTCTGCTAAGGCTCAGGGGCTTGTGTTGCAGCACCAGCATTGCAGATCCTGGATTAAAATGGGTATGCAGTGACAGAAATAATGCGTTTACAGTTAAATTGGATGAATGACAACTTACAGACTGTAGGGCAACCCACATCATAAACTCAAGTGGCATTACTGCAGGCACTCCAGAGTCGTATGTGTCCCAGAATAAAGCTGCTACTAACAGTGTTAACTGGAATAAAAGTTTTTTATTTTTCATAGTGGTAAACACAGGGCCTAGCGAAGCATGGTTTGCAGAAGTCAGTAGGCTCTCACAGCTGCAATCCAGGTCACAACAAACTGCGTCTCACACTTCCAAAATGCTGTATAGTGCTGTAAGCACTGAAAAATCAGTCTGTGCACACCCACAGTGCAGGGAAGCTTCCAATGGCTTTAATCTTGCTGCTTTAATTCTGCTTTTGCAAAATGAAATCATAATAATATTGCCTCCTTTCATGACAGATCTTTGAAGATATTAATCGGTGTTTGTAAAGAGCTAAAATGCTGCACCTGAGCACCTTAGAAAGTCCCACTGAAAATGAATAAATCTGTGTTCTATGCTATATTCAATAGCACACAGTGAAGTAATGCAGAGGCCTATACATTACAGGGAAAGCATAAAAAGAGAAGATACTGAAAAGTAAGATTTAGTAAGCACTGAGTACGGCAGTGATCCTGTGGCAAAAATAACATGCCATTTGCTTTGGTGGGATCCACCTGCAAGTGAGTCACTTGCACTCTCTCTAGAGCACAGGCAGAGAGATGAGCATGCTCCGAGGGAGGTACGCCTCCCTTCTCTTAGACACCTGTCTTAGGTTTGGATGAATCACACTATGAAGTGCTTTACCTCTGCCTATTGATACAGCTCAGGAGCCTACCTGACCATTTGAGATTCATTGCCTGACTTTCAGATGGTAAAAGTGAGATTAGTCCCACCTCTACAACATATACAGAAGTGGTCTGGATCTGGTTTGCACATGCAGTATTAACATCTTCTGATGTTAGCATGCTTGGCTTTGTAGTCCTGATCTTCTTTAAACAGTAG